ACATAATACATAATACATACTTACTATACATACATACATACATACATACATACATACATACATACATACATACATACATACATATATACATACATACATACATACATACATACATATATACATACATACATACATACATACATACGTACATATATACAGACATACATACATAAATACATACATACGTGCATACATATATATATATATATATATATACCAAGTTGCGGAACTAAGATGGTCGTAAAGAGCACTAAAAGGGACGGCAAGTACATGGAATGTTCAAAACTATGCTCTCTGTGATTGAATTCTGAATGAAGCTACACACGGCAATGTGGCTTCTGTGCGGCACGTGCTTCATGCTATGGTAGAACAGCTTTGTTGAACGAGTATATGTTCCACTTGTATTCCCACTCACATACCTGATTATCAGTTTCTGCTGCAGAAGTGCTCTCATTCATCTTCACGTTCCGATGCTTGTGCTCTTCAGGTGTCAATGCGTTAGATGGTGCGACCTATATCGAGTCTACTTACGTGTGTTCGTGGGTATGCTTGGCTATGTAACGCAACGTAGCGCAGCGAAGACTATTATTTATTTTTATGCAATTTTGAAATTTTAGGGATTTCAGGATTTTGGCTCATGAGCAGCTGAGTGTAGATGCTTTTTGAAACTCTCGTGTGTGTAAAATGAACAATCATACACAAACCCATATATAATACAGCGCGAGGCACATTAACGTCAGTATTGTAGTAGTTGCAAACATGTCAAAAGTCACAAACGAAGAGGAGGTCGAGGTGAAAGAGCACCCACTGTATACGCCGTTTGTCCTGTGGTACAGCGACAAATCGAAGAAGGATCAGCGATCTCAAAGCGCATACGAGAATACATTACAGCAAATATCCGTGATACAGACGGTATGTACAAAGTAGGCTCCGTATGGGCTCTGTATGTGTAAACTTTCGTAGTGTCCTTTACAAGTGTGTTTGTGCATCGAACCCTTTCGTTAGGATTTTACAGTTAGGTTTACTGTTAGAACACAGAGGAGTTTATTCCGAGTCGCTACTCGGGTCAGTACTGAACATATAGGCAGCAGCCGAATCGCAGGTTGCACGAATACTTTCGAATGAATGCAGGCGATGCGCAATCTTGAGAACAATATACGTATAGATAGCTGGATATGGCTGTGTATAAACAATCATACAGACTTCATCTACTCATAGCGATTATGTCAGGTTATCATTCACACACACTCAAGTTTAACCAATGATTATTTTTATACATCCCACCATCCTACATCTAAAATTGTGTGTGTGCGCTTACTACTATATTAAACGTAATAGTCATCGTAATAGTGTTGGCATCAAATATATATATGCACACACATGCGTATTTTGAAGATTGTACACAACTGTAAGTTATATACATATATGTATATATATATGTGTGTGTGTGTGTGTGTATGTATATATGTATATATATATATATAAGATATATATGTGTGTATATATATATATATTATGTATATGAATTCAATATTTTGTTCTGATATTCGGAATGCACATGCTGATATCTATATATTTATGCATATATATATATATAATGTATGTGTGTGTGTGTGTGTAGTTGGGTGCGGGTGGGTGGGTGGGTGTATGTTTGTATGTGTATATAAGTATATATGTGTGTGTGTGTGTGTATTTATATATAT